GCTGAGCAGGGAGCCCGATGCGGGACTCGATCCCGGGACTCCAGGATCATGACTTGAGCCGAAGGCAGTCGCTTAACCAACTGAGCCACCCAGGCGCCCTCTAGTTTCTTTGTTCTTGAGTACTTCTCTCTATGTCCTTATTCTATCCTCTGGTAAGTAATGAGATTCTACAAAATCAAAGAGAACAACCACTTTTGTCATCTTTTTTTAAAATTTTTATTTTGAGTATGGTTGACACACAATACTACATTAGTTTCAGGTATACACCATAGTGTCCAACTTCTCTACGTGTTATGCCATGTTCCCACAAGTGTAGCTACCATATATCACCATGCATCACTATTACAATATCATTGACTATCATCCCTATGCTGTTCTATTTATTCCCATGACTTATTCATTCCATAACTGGAAGCATGTATCTCCCACTCCTCTTTACTCTTTTTGTTAATGCCCCTACCCCACTCCCCTCTGGCAAGCATCCGTTTGTTCTCTGTATTTACAGGTCTAATTGTACTTTTTTGTTTGTTTATTCATTTATTTTGTTTATTAGATTCCACATAGGAGTGAAATCACATGGTATTTGTCTTTCTCAATCTGACTTATTTCACTTAGCATACTACCCTTCAGATCCATGCATGTTGTCACAAAATGGCAAGAACTCCTCTTTTGCGTAATATTCTATTATATATATATATATTATATATATATATATATACACACACACACCTACATATATATATGGCATATCTTTCTTACCCATTCATCTATTGATAGACACTTAGGAACAAACACTTTTCTTTGCCATAGTTCCTGTCTCCTATCCTACAAATAAATCTTCACCTCTCCAAGTTCTAGGAACTTCATTCTCATTGTCCAGTCAAGACTAAAAATGTTAGTGGGTTCATTTCTATGGTTAGCTTTGGGGTTTTCAACATCCTTGTTGGTTACTCAATTTCAGAGTAGGGAGAAGAATAGAATGCAATGGTCAAAGTGTAACATCAGAGAAGGTTGGGTAATGAGTAAGTTAGTCAACAAACTAAGTCACAAAGGAAATAATCAGAAGAAGTAGGCATGGGACCATTTTAGAGTGGGATCAGAGAAAGTTATTATTGCTCTTTATAAGTTTCTTCAGTTTGGGTGAGGAGAAGTCCCTCTATATTTTAGTATGTCCATGGAGTGAACATTTGTGGTTATAAGTAAACAGGGTGATTAGAGGAGACAATTTCAAATTCCTTAACTTTATACCATTGCATTCTCCCCTAATTGATCAGAAGGATTAAAATGGTTTGAGTATAGTGATAAATAGGTGGGCACAGTGTGGGAAATTGGTTTAATGATTGTATTTATACATCCCTCTCTGTATATGGAGCACCTAACTCATTTAGGAGACAGTTTTGAAGACATCTTCATCACTGTCCCATAAGTGCCCTTGTAAGAGTCTTTATAATTCCTCATTGAGAATCTTGGTGCTGGGCATGTGCCAATTTTCTGCACTATCAGCCCTGGATAAAAGATAAGAGAGTGATCATTTTGCAGTGTGATTATAAAACCATCCTGAATTAAAAAGCTGGTAAAATTAGTTTCTACCTTCCATTTCTACCTTCATCCCAGAATTTATAAGCCTAACTTATATGAATAACAGACTCTAAAAGACTACTGCTTCATCTATTCAACGTAGACCTCTCCAGAACATTCCAGAAGGTAGGAAGTACAGTGACATGGAAATATCTCTTCCCATGCAAACATCGATAGGATTGAATTTTATTTCTTGCAGATTTTCAAGTCAGTCATATGGTGGCCAAGACAACTTAGCAATACCTGCATTCCTATATATAAATGATCTCTCTGAAATTGTAGACAAAATGTTACAGATCAGGGACACCTGGGTGGCTCAGTAGGTTAAGCGTCTGCCTTTGGCTCAGGTCATGATCCCAGGGTCCTGGGATGGAGTTCTGCATCGAACTCCTTGCTCAGTGGGGAGCCTGCTTCTTCCTCTCCTTCTGCCTGCAGCTCCCTCTGCCTGCAGCTCCCCCTGCTCGTGCTCTCTCTCTCTGTCAAATAAATAAATAAAATCTTAAAAAAAAAATGTTACAGATCAAAAACTCTGTTCTTTTTACATAGAAGTAAGTATTCTGGTATTACCTTATTTAGAAAACTTCAAAGTGACTTTTCTACCCTTTTTTTTTTTGTCATGGAGTTCTATTGTCCATATTTAAATGTGCAGCTTTTTAAATGAAACACATCAGCTTATAAACCATAAGAAGGGTGGAGGTCCCCTGGCTGGCTCAGTCGGTGGAGCATGCGACTGCTGATCTTAGGACTGTGAGTTTGAGCCCAAAGTTGGGTGTAGAAATTAATTAAAAATAAAATCTTTAAAAATAAATAAATAAAATACAAGAAGGGAAATTTGAAAAATGTTAAGCAAAACTGTTCATGAAGATTTTTCAGCCAAAAAAAAAAAAAGTTTCAGTGTAATTTATTTGAAACCTCAACACATACAACAATTTTTGGTGGATTAAAAACAAGTGATGGATGTAGTGATGGTGGGGAGTCTATGACACTGCTCACGGACCTTTCTCTTCATCCCCTCCATTAACAGCACCTGGGCAGTGTTCTGTGGCGTGCTATTTAAAAGCAGCTGATGTACTATAGTTCTCTTCATTTTACAGAAGATGACAATGAACTCAAAGACAATTGAGGGTGCCTGGGTGGCTCAGTTGGTTAAGCGACTGCCTTCAGCTCAGGTCATGATCCTGGAGTCCCAGGATCGACTCCCGCATCAGGCTCCCTGCTCAGCAGGGAGTCTGCTTCTCCCTCTCACCCTCCCCCCTCTTATGCTCTCTCTCTGTCTCATTCTTTCTCTCTCAAATAAATAAATAAAACCTTGGAAAAAAAAAGACAATTGAATATTTAAGGGCATACAGTATAAAAACTGTCCCATATGAGTCTTTTTTTTTTTTAACCTCAAGGTACTCAATCATTTCTATGTTCAATAAATATGACAAAGGTCAAATTACGTTAATACTCTATTATACCTCCACTCGTACCTATTTTCATCTAAAGACAATTTAGATGTTGAACTAGTTTAAATATTTTTCATTTCCAACATTTAAACCTTCAAGGACTATTTTATTTGTAAAAGAATGTACTCTGTACCCTTTTCACCTTTATCAGAACGTCTGCCTAACTACTGGTTGTTCATATATGACCTTGCGATCACATACCCACTACTGAAAATGGAACCGGGGAGATAAATGTAATGTGTGTAGTTGAGTACCAGTGGCAAGAGCATTCCTGGATGTTCTCAGAAAAGGCGATTAAGAGGGAGAATTGTGTACTGCAAAGCAAAGGGAGACTTTAAATGAGTAAGTTGAGTACATTTTGCAGGCATGGAGGTCATCCTTTAATATAATGAGTCCTCTTTTTTCACTGTAGCCTTCTCCATCAGCCTGGAAGTTTCTTTTTTCAGGGACTCTGTTCTACCAGGACGTGGTGTGGAATAAGCTCTGCAAATATGTATTGACCCCACCCCAAAAAAATATTAAAAGAAAAAAAAAGAATGGTTAGGGAGCCATTTAAGTTAGTAGCAGATAAAAGGGTAGTTAAATGTGATATTTTGGGAAGTTTACTTGATAATAGAAATTTTTAAAGATTGAGGGGAGAAAAGATTAGAGATCAAGATACTATCCAGTAGACTATTGCAGTAACCCATATGGAAGGTAATTGATTTACAATCCCTCTCTCCTAAATAGGGAAGGAAACCTAACAAACAAGTTTATTTCTTGCACATGGTTTTCTCTAGCCATTATGAACTTCAGTGCACTTTTTCTTCCTGAATGTCAATTGACTTGACAGCTTCCCCACATTTTATCACTTCCTTAGATACTGTCCTATACAGTAGGTCACATCACCTAATTATCTCCATGTGTTAAGTTTCTCTCTTCAATTAGCTCTGTGTGAATAAGGTCTATGATTTATTCTAATCACACTTATCACAGAGCTGTGTGCAGTGTAGATGTTCAATAAATAGAAGATGGTAGCCTTAATATGTCTCCATCAAGAGGAAAGGGATTAAATTAGATTTGACCATATCCTTTCACTTCTTAAAAATCCTGTTTATCTGTTGATTGCAATAGATATGCTCATATTCTATTTCACCACATAGATGTATCTGCAAAGATGAAGTTGGTGTTTGAGTAAATCAAAACAAAACAAAAACATAATTACATTTGAGAAATCCTAGGATAAACAAATTAAGAAGTTGTCATTGCAGTAGGATTTCTAAGAGTCTTTAGTTTGTGAATGTGGATTGTGACCCCTAAGAGGGGAATGGATAGTCTGGGCATTTCAATAAATGTGAAATATATTTGAAAATCTGACTTTTAGAATACTTATTAAAATGATATGAGTTCCTGTTCTGTACAACAAATTGCATAGGTGAGAGTTTCCATGTATGTCTGGACTCCTTAACATGCATGAAGTTTCCTAACCAGACCACTACTCATCCTATTTCTAATGCTTCCTGTCCTCCACGTGATACTGAGTCCAAGATATACATTGTTTGTTTTCCCTAAACACATTTACGTTACTTGTTTAAGTTCTATTTTTATTTATGTATTCCTTTACTTATATGAACCTCAAGTGAAAGTAGCTGAGCCATTCTTTCTCCTCACATAATGCAATAATAAATATTCTTTGTGAAATGTGTATTTGTGTGGCTGTGTTTCCAGTTAATACAGATGTTATTCTGCCATAAGATTCATTCTGTATTTTGTCTTTTCACTTGACATTGTTTTCCAAAATAGATAGATGTTGGCTTATGTGTATTTATTTTATTACTTCTAAATGCCCCATAGTAGCCCTTGGTTTTTATTAAATAGTCATAATTAATATTTATTCTCCTTGTATAGATGAATATAATGTCTCCACAAATAACATTGGACATATTGACTTAACTGGTATGTCAGTGCTGGATCACAAAATAGATGCAGTATATGAAGCTTCTCACTTTTAATATTTCCACCAACATTTAGCTGTCTCCACCTTTTTAGACCTTATGAATTTATAGTAATAGTTTACTATAGTAATAAACTTACTGTTTCTACATTTGTATTTTTTGTCATACTAAGTTTGATTATTGGCTACAGTACTTAAATATGCTTCTGTGCTTGCAACAGGAATGCCATAGCTTATTTTTTTTTTTATTGCTTTTTATTTTTGTTTCCTTGTTTTATTTTTCAGGTTGGTAGCAAGTCCTTCTTATCTGGTAGTGTGAGGAATACACTAGCCTTATCTCAATTATTTTATATTAAAGAATGGAGCTCAGTAAATACTAAAATTGAATTTGAAAAAAATTTTGAATTGATCACAAAATTCTGCTTTAATTTTGATTGTAATGGAATAGCAGTTTTAGATTAATTTCTGGAATAATTGACATTTTAACATTTTAAATTCTATTTTAGATTTAGTTATACTGATAAACTCTCTGGTTAGTATTAATAGTTTATTCTGATAGCTTTTCTATGTTTATGGCAATACCATCTGCAAATATTGACACATTTTTCCCCCATAAATCTTAAATTTTTGTTTCTATTTTTGCTTTTCCTTATGCCATGGTGGTAGCCAAGCCTTCCGGTATTATACTGAACCAAAGCAGTGAGGATAGCCATTCTTTTCTTATCTCCACATTAAGGGAATATACCTTCTAAATTCTTGTTAACTATTTCAGTTGCTATTGAATTTGGGTAGATTATCCTTCATCAACTCAAGGAAGTTCCTATCTGTGCTTGTTACATAGTTGTCTGTTTTTTGGGGTTTTTATAAATATTAAGAAGGTTATGAACTGTCTCAGACTTTTTTTAATGCATCTATTGAAATATTCAGGGATAGTTTTGTTTTTGAAAGTTAGATAATACTAAATTATATTCTTAGGATGAACCATGTTAAAGTAAGGGGCATTACTTATTAATATACTATTAGATTCCACTGATATTTCTATAGGGAAAATACATCTGTAATTTTCAGTTCTTGATTTATCTCTGCCAAGTTTTAAGATGCACTCTGTCTTCTCTAGGCTCTTGCTTTTCACTTGTGATATTATCTTTGCCTATTTGTCCCAACTCTAACCATAGTAACCAACCCAAATAACTTTTCCTGTTTGGCGTAGTTCAATAAATATTTTTGTACCTTTTCCTGAAGTCACAAAGAACTAATTATTTTTGACTCTATATTCTTATAACAATTTGAAAGTGCAGAATCATATATATCAAAACAATGCTATGATTTAAACAAAAAAAAAAATTGTGTCATGCTACCAGAGAAGACTGGAAATCCCGAAGGAGAGGGATTGAATCTTATCATCTTTGACCAACACCCATGATATCTAGTATAGGGCTTATAACATAATGACATAACAAAGAAGGTGCATCCTTTTAACTTTGTTTTTTATATAAAAATTTCTTATACTTATTTTGTATATTCCCTCCAGAATGATACCACTTCAATTCTGTGCACCCAGCATCTACTAAATGCCAATCCCAACTTCCAGACAATCAGATGAACTTCATCAGTAAGTGTCAATAAATACAATAAGACTTGAATGTGTTTTTTTCCTGATATATATATTTTATCATAACTAAACCACCAAAGACCAAACCAGTTCTTCCCTTGAGAATTAGTATTCAGCCCAGAAAGAAAGGATATAGCTCAGGAATGCTTTCTAGATAACATATTATGTTTATATACAGTTACATATGCATTTCCCCCACTTTAAGATAATTGCAGATAAATATTTCAGGCTATCACTCCTCATTTCCATTAAGAAACATAAGTGAATCCATCTTACACCAGCCAAGAATGAACTCACTAATATGGAGCCTTTTTATTTTTCCCATTTCTAGAAAGCTAAAAAAATAATCAGTCTGGCTGGACTTTTTCTGCCTGAGACTAATTATGTCACTTGTGACTTGTATTAATTCAGGTATTGATATATAGAAGAATCAAAATGTAGCACATTTTCTTGAAGTCCTTTATACGTGCCATCTAGGAAATTTTTTTTTTTTAAGATTTTATTTATTTGAGAGAAAGATCGAGAGAGAGTGAGAGAGAGAGCACGAGTGCAGGAGGGGGAGAAGGGGCAGAGGGAGAGGAAGAAGCAGTCTCCCCGCTAAGCAGGGAGCCCAATGTGGGGCTCAATCCCAGGACCCCAGGATCATGACCTGAGCTGAAGGCAGATGCTTAACTGACTGAGCCACCCAGGCGCCCCACCATCTAGGAATTCTAAGTGACTCTAGTCTGTTTGTTTTAGAGAGAGCATGCGTGCACACACACACGTGTGAACGAGCAAGGGGGAGGTGCAGAGGGAGAGGGAGAAGCAGATTCCCCACTGAGCGGGGAGCCTGATGCGGGGCTGGATCCCAAGGACCTGAGCCAAAATTAGACGCTTAACTGACTGAGCCACCCAGGGGCCCCTAAGTGACTCTAGTTTCTGTTATCCCTTCTATTGTAGATCATTAGAGGAATGAGGATGTCTGTTCTTGATAGCTAGACCCTCTCCCAATCACCCCAATCCCTATAAATGGCCCCACTATTTACGTAGTTGTTCAAGTCAAAAACTTGAACAACTTAAGGTCACCCTTAAATCCATCTTTCCTTCATCTTGTACATCCAGTGCAGTTCCCAGTACTGCCAGTTTTATATCCAAAGTATATCTGGATTCAGTTTCTTCCATTTCTAATACCACCTTAGTAGTCAAAACCAAAATAACCTCTTGCTTGGGCTACTGCAGCAATCTCCTATCTAGGTTTCTGCTTTCATCCTTGTATCCTATAATCCATTTCCATTTGAGACCCAGAGTGATCTTTTTAAATATATAGGCGAGATTATGTCATCCCTTTGCTTTTAGATCCCTTCAATAACCTCCTCTTTGACATGAAGTAAATCTGAGCTGCTTGCCCTGAGTGACAAGGCCTTGTATGACATGGTCTCTGACTACCTCTCCACATCATATTATGCCACTTGCACCCTCATCCAATATGATCTGTGCCTCATTTTCATTTCTTATATATGTCCATTGGTTTAGTTCAGCACAACAATGAACACAAACTTTTCCAAGACTCTTGCTATGGGTTTCTCTTATCATGGCAACTTCACATGACAAATGGGAGTATCACCCTGTCCACTCTGTGTAAAATATTTAATTTCCCATCCATTTTGTGTTTTATCATATCATCTTCTCTTTTGTTTCTTATTTCTACTCATCTGTATTTCTCCTGTACCACCAGGCCTTTGAAGAAACAGACCTCCATGTCCTGTTGACTGCTGTATTCCCAGCACCCAGATTTGTGAGAAATCCTAAGCAAGTATTTGTGAAATAAGTAAGGGTATTGGAAGTTTTGTCACATGGAGAATTCATATGATAAAAAGCACTAACAGTAAAGTCCACTGAGCGATATCCTAGCCCAGCAGCATAATTCATTGTCAAGTGCCAGGATCCTAGCTTGGCATTACTTATTGATACTCCTTCTCTATTGATACGCTCTCTCTAAGATTCACTGTAACATAGTCTCTTGTAGGATACTGTGCATTGGCAGGGTTAAATATGATTTCTCTGTCCTTTCATAAAACTGTTCATCTTTTCTGTAGCAGACACAAATCTAATGTTTCATCATTTATTTGCTTCTATAATGTATCCAATTAGACTCTGTGTCTTAGAAAGGCAAGACAGTTGTTTCACTATCATACCACATATTTTGTAGAAAATAAATTTAGAAAGTTTTTTTTTTTTAGTTTATTTGCAGTATGGTTATTTATAGCTCTTTCCTTGAGCCAAATAATCCATTCACTCGTGCAACAATTAGACTTCACAAATACAGAATTGTTGTCAAAATTCAGAGGTTGAATTAAGAACAAAAATTAGTTGGGGACACCTGGGTGGCTCAGTCGGTTAAGCGTCTGCCTTCAGCTCAGGTCATGATCCCAGGGTCCTGGGATCGAGTCCTGCATCAGGACTGCTTCTCCCTCTCCCTCTGCCTGCAACTCTCCCTGCTTGTGCTTGCGCTCTCTCTCCTCTCTCTCTGACAAATAAAGTCTTAAAAAATTTTAAAAAAAGAAAGAAAATTAGGTGAAGTTGTAGTTAGGAATGCATATATTAGAAAGAGAGAATGATCCCAATGACTCCTAAATTCTTGTGTTCAATTAGAATATAATTGTTAAAATCTGGCTCATATTTATGAAGACTCATAAGATGGCCCTGGAAGAGAGAATGATCCCAATGACTCCTAAATTCTTGTGTTCAATTAGAATATAATTGTTAAAATCTGGCTCATATTTATGAAGACTCATAAGATGGCCCTGGATATCTTTGCATGTACAGAGGAGATCCGAAGGAATTAAAATTTAACTTCAGTGATCTCTCATTTTCTTTTGTTATCTGGTCTCGAGGTTCATTGAAGGCTTTGTTTTCTACAGTTTTTCTCCTCAGACATCATCCTGTGGTATTCCTTCTAACAACTCTCCTTCTATCATTTGTGGTTAGAGATAACTATTACCTACTAATAAAGGTACCTGCAAGAGATAATACTAACACTCAGGATGTGTGTCAGATGATGGCAGGTAACTCAAACTGGAAGAAGAGTGCTCCAGACATTGATTTTTCAGAAAATGTCTATTAGCCTTGTGACCTAGAAGAAGCTTACGTAAATAAAGTGGAGAGGGTGGTACATATATACAAAAACACAACCTCGTGATCTTGGTAATGAACTAGAAGACCAGAGTTCAATTCCTGTCTCTCTTACTTCTTTGATGAGTAATTTAACCCTGAAAAATTCCTTAAGACATCTCTGAGACTCGTTTTTCTCATCCACAAAACACTACAGTTTAGGTAAACCTAGAGTGTCCTATGAGGACCATTCTGAAGGTCCAAAATCTGTAATGTCATCTTTTTATAATTTTTCCCTCTGAGTTTTGGATATTTGAAAGCTGTGATTTCTGTTCGACCCATTCTTCAGTCCCATCTTTTTTGAAAACTCTGTGAAGACTTCTTGAGTGTCCCCACTTAGAGTCACTTACTTTTTCCTCAGTTCTTCCATAATTCTGTACATAACTTGGTTTCTATTTCTTATCATTACAAGCTTTACATTATAATTACAGAGAATGTTGTTTAGTTGAAAATTATGGGCTTTAATGTCAGACCAACCTAAGTATAAACCTAGACTCAAAATACTATTGACAAGACCATAGAGAAAGAATGTTTCAACAGTTAGGTTAGATGGGATTCGTTAGCTCCCACTTTATAAATAAAAGAATAAGTTTGGAGATGCCGTCTCCTTTAATCTTATTTCCTAAGATGGTTGATGCTCAATACTTGTGGGGGACACAATTCTTTTTTTGAAGACAGTCCATCAAATCAGGGGGATTTTAAATTGCATGGCCCCCTTAGTACTAGGATTGGGTCAGAAATACTAGGATTAGAATATCTTTAATATAAAGAGTGTATCATGTAAACAAAAACAAGCAAAAAAAATAGTATACCATGTAATACATAAATGTATATTTACTAAGAAGAAAACAGTAAAAATAAACATCTACTTTAATGACAGAATTTCTGTCTTCCACAATCATCAAATGAGCAATAACCACCGTGACAACAATAGGTGTACACTGTTTGGCCAACTGAGTCACTCTGCAAAGAAACTTTGTCTAGCAAATAAGACAGTACTGGAATTGAGGAAAATAAAAATATGTTGAAAACTATTACCTTCAAAACACATTCTACGATTATTTTCTCCACAAAAACACAGTAATACAAAAACATCTCAGTCTAGCTTCACAATGTGATGCATTTCATTCTAATCCCAGGTATTATGAGCTGTTATTTTGTTCTCAAATACAAACCTGCGTGTAAAACTGTTTACCTTCAATCCAATTTCTTTCCAATTGAAGGTTAGATTCAGAAAAACAAGGAGCCACCCTTTCAGGATTTTGGTAGTGTGGGGTTGTGGGATGAAAAATGACAAATACAAAATTAACCCTGATAACTTTATTAGGTATATATGTGTATCTAAATAGAAATATAAACATATATTCTTTTTCCACCTTGATATTCATGTTTAAATTGTGCATTTATATAGCTTTTGTAGTGATGCCCACTGTTACCTTATCTTTTTGACTGACAATGATGGGATTTCAGTCATGCTCAGCCTTTCCAACAGTGCCAGTGATGGGATTTTTTGAAATCTTATTACTGGTTGCAATGTCCTGATCTCAGATGGAACTTTCAATCAAAAAGGCAATCAGAAGGTTATACATTCGTGAGATTCCCTGCAAAGCTAGTGATCGCATAATACAACTTGTTGGAAGGGCCTACTTGCCTCCAGTCCTTATGTGGCTATAAAGAGTAATTGGCTACTTAGCTCCCAGCACCCGCTTTTCCGTCTCCAAACCACAGCGCAGCCCAGAACTCTGTTGAGTCTCAATGTGGAATCTGGCTACTCCTATGAGATTTCCAAATCTCATGCAGCGACTTCTCTTACTTTAAGCATCTGATTAAGGAAACTCTCCAAAAAACACATTTGGCTCTTTCTAAGCATCCTGATTTCACTAGTGATACCAGTGGATCTAAGTTTTCTTTTATTTTATATACACACAGATACTTACACATTTTTCCAAAGCATTTTCATTGTCAAGTTTATATTTCAGAAATCACAATTCTGTGCAGCAAGGTTAATACTTGAGTATAATTTCTAGACTATTTTAATCATCCTGTTATCAACTATTCTTAATCTTACAATAACTGTACTCATGCAAGATTTTTGTAAGGAGTATCCTCTTAATACTCTATAGTATACATACATGGATATTTTCGTAATTTGATTGGCTCAAATAGTAGACAGGGTTGAGGTTGAATTAATTCCATGTGGTGTCCAGTCACCCAGGGATGCATCAGTTCCCCAGACATGAACTTGGAGTTGTGAGGTAGGCAGAGGGAGGTAATTTTGTCTCACTTGGCTCCCACTCAACAGTTCTCTTCCGTTAGGCAGAGAAACATCACACAGGCGTAAGTTTCAAGAATGGAAAACAACTAATGGTTAGGACCCAATAAAGACCTACAGTCACATTAAAATGCCTGTGGGCTGAATAAGCATTTTATGTGAAAAATAGCCACACATGTATATGTAAGACATATGTTAGTATTGCAAGCGAAAACAATGCAGAGACAAAAATAGTCACTTAGATAAAGTTAAGAAAATGTCTTACTTAAAGAGCTGAGCATCAGGTACTCAAATCCTGAAAAAGGCTAGGAATTTCATCATCCTCTCTAGGTTGAGGAAGTCCTAACAAGTCTATTGACAAAATACAAAGTGCTTAAGTCAGTGTGTGTGTGTGTGTGTGTGTGTGTGTGTGTGTGTGCGCGCGCGCATGCATGTACGCGCCTCAGAACTTTATGTTAATGCAGGGTACTCTAAAAGTATCGTTGAACATGGTGTTATTTGCCTGACTTTGTATTACAAAACCTTAGAGGGAGTTTTAAAGCACAAAATGCTAATGTGGTGGCAAAGTAAATTGCCAAGAGATGAACACTTTCATTCTCCCTTCCTGAGCAAAGTAAATTTTGAAGTAAGATTTAGGCAACTAGTATTTGAGTTGCCTAAATCACCATATAAATATTATCCTTTTGATTGCCAAGACTGAAGATAGAGATTTTATATTCCTGAAAAAGAGTGTAATTTTTCTGTTAGACGTATCTGTAGGTCTCTAATCTATGGCGCTCTTCACTGAGAAGTACATAGAAATGAGTCTGGTAAGTAAGAGATAAGTAAAAAGGTAATGATTTCACCTTATTTGGAATATTACTACTACTTACTGTCACAACTACTATGAATAATCTACATTCACTAAGTATTTGTTTTAGACACTGTGCCAACCCGAAGTCACTTTAGACTATCACTAGGACCTCAAGAAAAAGTGTCCAGTAGCCAGAGTGATAAGCATAAAACATGAACTATTCTCAGGCAGTGGGAACTCAGTGACTCAACTAAGTCCCTAGATAGTTATAGATTCTAATATTCAAACATTTTGTTTCTGCCACAGTGGAGGCAGTCTTCAGGAGTTGGGATCTTTGGTATTCAAGCTAAAGTCATGCTCCTCCCAGGCAACCCCAAGCCAAGAACTGAGATGGCAGGGGAACTAGACCCCAACTACTTGTTCCCCAATGAGAGATCCCTCGTCAGACAGTCTTTGACTCAGAACCCATTTGGTGGAAGTTGGTCAGGTCTGTTTTGCAGTGTAGATCTCTGTTGCTAAATCCTACTCACTGACCACTTTACTTCTGCAAGTTTTAGACCTGTATCCCTGTCTGAAGTCTTGCCCTGCTCATTCCTGCTTCTTTTTTCTTTTAATCTTAACTCTGTTTCAGCTTCTGCTGCCAGGAGGACCCAACCGACACAGCTGGACTAGCCTTTCCATACACCACGTTCCTTTAATGTCCCTGCTGGTAGCTTGCTGTGTGATCACTGCCAGGCCATTTCACTTCTCTGCTTCTTTATAATAAAGACTCTTACAAATCAAAGTGATCTTGGGATGATTTAGTTGAACATTCTAGAATTCTAATTAGAGTTGGTGTCTCTCTTAACAGATCTTCATCTGATTAGAAAAAAAAAATGATGACAACAAAGGTATTTATAAAAATATATTTCACAAAGTAGGAAACAGTACAGGAGTTTCTCTGAATACAATACATGAAGTAAATAAACAATATTGCATTAAAGCAAAGTAGAAAATTAAAATGATCTGCATGTAGTACTTGATTTTTATCATACATTTTCTACTTCTAAATGGCAGGATTGTGTTACAAATTGAATATGCTCACATCTTCTAGTGCTGTTCTTTTTTGGAGTCTAAGACTTTCTGTGCATCACCATGAAGATCAGGGAGAGAAGTGCTATAAAACAAAAGCAGTAAAATTATGTACAAACCAGTTCCTGCTCTAAAACAATGGGGGGGACTTGAAGCGTGTTTATTGGGCAGGGCATTATGTAGGTATCTAAAAGTCTAGAGTTTAAATATTCACATGAATCAATATACTTTCAGATGTTTGTGCTTGTAGTAAAAACACCAAATACTAGGATTATGAACAAAATAGAAAACAGTCCAAAAGTTTCTCTGGGAAAATGCTGCTCCTGCCATCACCAGCCACAATAACACTTTCTACTCTAAAGAGACTATTAGCTCCCCCTTTGATAATATTGCCTGCCATACTCAGCTCATCGAAATGTACATGTATTAAACATTCATTGTATATATATATATATTTATATAAAACAATCTAAAGGATTATTAATGGATATAATTTAGGGTTTTTTTTTCATATAGTCCCTTAATCTATAGATTACCAACCTTAATAAATAAAAGCATTAATGGACATCAATAAAATATTTATTTCGAGGATTAAACAAATAAATTCACGCGCTAGCAATAAAACCATCTGTCTCTTATGTAGTCCACTGTGTGATACAGTTTATCTTTGTGTCCTTGTGGAAGAAGATGAAGTGGAGGGAATGAGTAATCCTGCTTCCAGAAAACAAGCCTGTTTGAATGGGATTTCTCTCCTTCCACCACTGAGTTGGCAATCCCCACCCTGGAATGGATTAGGAACATGTGAATATTTTAAGGCTCGACACAATATTTAAAGATGCTATTCAGTCTCTGATGAGTGGGGCCAACAGTTATGTACAATGTGTGGTCACCGTACCGTATAATCTAGGAGGCCTCCCAAAACTCCAAAAAGTCATCATGTACAGCGGACCAAGTATTGCTTTTTCATTTGTGGCGGGATCCTTATTGGTGAAGGGGAAAAAACCATTTGCATTTATAAAAATCCTTGCAGAAGACACATATCAGCAGCACATTTCTTGCAGGTCCATTTTTCTAAGAAAGCACCTTTTAATTTTGATTTTTTCCTCTTTTTAAACCATCTCTCTAAGGATTAGCCAGGATCCCAATCTTTGTCTGTGGTGGTTAGGTAAATATCAAATATCCAAAGACTTCTAGACACTCCACGTACTTTAATTCACACTCCACAAGATTTATAACCTCCTAACATATACTTTTTATTTTTATTATTAATTTTTGGTTCAACATTGAAATGTAGTTGAGTTTATAGATGACTGGTGCTAAACTTGCCTCTAAAACAAATAGCCACATTGGTTGTATCTAAGGGGTGTGACCCTAGAATATTACAGAATGCTCAGTTCCACTGATTAATTTATAATCCACTGTCAAGTTTCTTTGTCACTTTCACCAACAGAGTAGAGTTCTCCCAGTCTCTTAAAGCGGGGACCCCAGTCACTGAGGTAGTCAAAATTCTGGTCTGAGTCTGAGGTGGTGGACTCCAAGGAGCTGAGGGAGCCAGCCACAGACCCTCGGCCTTCATAGCCATAAATCTGAATGGAGTCATAAGGCGGGGCAGTGGGGTCATTATCTGCCTCATGTAGCCGCACATTTATAAATTCATCGACATCAACCCCATTCGGAACAGGAGCAAGCCCTTGCCTTGGCATAAACTGCAAATCTGGTTTAATATCCTTACGGGGTAAAAATCCATTAATTCCATCTGGGTTTTGTAAAGTCGCAATATCAAAAGCCTCTGTGTCTTCCTCTCCTCCTCCTTCATCATCATAGCGGATGATGTTTTCTCGTACATCTTCATCGTCTTTAATAATTAATGGCTCGTTTTTATGTCGCCGCAGAGTTACAAACAGCACCACGATGACTGTAGGAAAAGTGTGAAATAACAATTAGCTTAACTTGCAAATAATTTCACAAGCACTGCATCATGTGTGTTAAGAGAGAGTGGCATTGCCTTGATACCATTCACGTGGGAATTAAGTTAAACACCTTTCTGAAGGATGGGGATTGAATTCTGAATGAATATTATTCCAGGTTGCTTCTGTGTACTCAGTGGTGATGAAGCTGGGTTAAAAGAGTAAGTTTGCATCTATCCATGGTGAAAGCTGCGTGTAATACTGTTAAAAGCTCTAGAATAAATGGCACAAAATAGAAAACAGAACAGATAAAATAACTAACTTGCTGTGGCTCTTGGAAAAGCCATTTAAAATCCTTTGATTCCATGCCCTTCTTCTATAAAGAAAAGAAGCAGAGTTAATCATATCTAGTATATTTTGTGTCTTATCAGCTCTTCAAGACTCTCTCCAATCAAATAATGTTCACTCACAGATGAAGTGATATATCAAGATGAACGTCAAATTGGCATGGACAATTTGTTGTCTTGTAGGAAACCTGGGGCTCCTCTGTCTCAGAAGGTAAGCCTATGGGTGGGCAAAGGGAAACGGATACATACCTAAACAAGCCAGGTTAGCCAAATCAAACTTCATGGGGTTCATGGGGTAAAATATGGCTAGAAATAATGTTAATCCAGACACTGGGTGAGCAGGACAGAAGCAACTGGAAAGATAGTAACTGACATAGTCTTTACTTAAAGACAGGATAAGGTATGACTTTCCTCTTGTGTATCTTCCTACTCTCTAATCTCATTTTTATAATTGGATATTTTTAATAGAAAAGTTACTAAAAAGCTTTCCTTAATTTGCAGTCTTCATTTTAATTTGATGTTGATATCAAGAAAATATCTGAGGAACACAGTATAATTTTGAAAAAAAAAATTTTTGTTTGCTTGTTTTCTTTTTATCTCACCAAACTTTGTGTTTGGATGGACTTAGCAACCCAATCTATACATTATTTAGGAAAAAGAGTATTTTGATACAGGGAGCCTCCCACTGCAGTAAATTGGTATATATATCAGATCTGCAGGCCTTTTTATAGAATACATGCTGTTGTAACCACATAAAGGTCCATCCCCACTTCCACCACCATTATACTCTATCTTTTCACTGGTGGTGGGACTGAAAAAGGCACTGAATTGTCCTCTCCAATTGGACGTTGGCTATCACAGCACTTTTTTCCCTTCACTCCTCCTTAGTGATTTCAAAGCTTGCAGAAATGCAAGAAATTCCTTTTCCCCAAAAGAATGCTGACACCTGACTGGGGTTCAGGTTTGCTGTCCTAATTTACAGTCATTTATGAACCAGAAAAATGATGGCCATTAAGCTATGAAGGAAATACGTACCTAGCAGCAAAATGATGCATGCTAATATGGCAATTAAGGCGCCCATACTGAGTCCAATCGGAAGGACATAAGCTTCAACATTACAAGACTGGACAACACCATCACTGCTGCAGCCACAGACACGGATGGTCAGGGTGCTGGTGCTGCTCAGAGGAGGATTCCCACTATCACTGATTATGATAGGTAAAAGATAGACTTCTTGCTTCTGGCGGTTGAATCCATTATGCTTTGCCAAAATGCTGAGGGAATTATCTGGAAAAAAGGGAAATTACAATAGTTTGCATTATTTCAAAATGGCTGCCCAAACAACACTTGTTTTTCTAGTTCATAAGTCCTCTGCAAAACTCAAGATAACCCAATTCCACTGGACCACTCAGGTTCTTTCCCCCTCCCTTCTCCCCACTTCCCCAGTAGGCATGGACCAAAATATCCACACCCTAACAGGTTTAATGAATGGGGCTTCATGATGGACTAATGACATTTTACCATCACTTTATAAATGCAAGAGATTTCTTTTATAAAAATAATTTTCAAGTGTCCTTTCAGAAGACACAAATCAACCCATATCTCCATACGTAAGTTTAATTTTCTCTCATTTATCCTGACAATGCAAAATTGGCTGGACAGAATTTCACCACATTTGAGAGGCATGTTGAGGAAGCTCTGTATTAAAAGATAGACTATATGACAATATGGCGTACAAAACAATGCACTTTGTTGATTCCCTCAGGTACCTACAAAGAGTCATTCATGCCCTTGCACACTTAAACTAAGATAGAACAAAAGTCCTATTTACTGCAATTGGAGGAGATATGCCACATATATTAAAACTCTGTAGAGAAGACCTGTAGTGGTTACACAAATAAGAATAAAATGAGAAGTTACAGAAGTAGATGTTATATTTTGCATGTTATTAATTAATATGGAAAGATGTATTGGTTATCTAGAGCAATACTTTAAGACATTTAAGCAATAATGAAGGGTGCATTTCAGTTCAAGGTAAAACTTGTCAGTGAGGAGTGATTGGATGCATGCTAGCCCTATGGTTCTCATGGTTTTACCCCCAAAATAAATTTTTGTGGTCATTCATGCCTAGCTCATGAACTATAGTCATACTGTATATATTAATTATTAATATTTTCTCATTTTGATTAATGAAAGACATATCTATTCAAAATGGGAACATATATCTTACTGATATTCTAGACAAAAGCCAATAAACATAATATTGGTTAATGTGTGTAATGTTATTTGGGCAAAAGGATTAGTTCAGTTAGGATTTTTTTTTTCACATATTGGCAAGTTTGTAGACCCTAGAACACCTGGCTACCTCATTGTTGCCTATTAAGCAGGGATTCCAAGCTATTGTTGTCCAATTCCTGGTCATCAATGTCCTTCTGGCTTCCAGCACACTCAAATACATGAACAGATATTCCACTCAAGTGACATTAAATAAACATGTTAAATTTTCTGTACCATGTAGTGCTATATTAGAATTTAAAAAAAAAATGATAGTCATTCCCCAAAATAGATGTATAAATTATATTTACTTTTGTTTGAGATATAAGTGGATCTATAATGCCTTGCTAGTAAGCAGAGGAAAACACTTAGATGGTGTTAACATTATTTTTTCTAAATTTCTTCTGGTTTTGCCTCATTATTTAGTAATTTGAAGAGTGAAAAGAGGTCTCTAATAGAGTTACGCAGTGATGTACCAAATGATCCAGTTATCTTTATTTCCATGACCTAGAAGGAAATACCACTATGCTAAAAACAGGAGAACATTATCTCACAACAGATAGAGAATATATAGCCATGTTTTATTTTCAGAAAGTGTGTGACAAGTTTGAGTACAGTTAATTAGTGCAAGGAACATTTGTAGATGATTTCATATACTATAGTTCAAAACAGAAGATGGGAATTGTTCCTCAAGATGCAGTTAATAAAATTACAATGAGGCTTTTGTCTTTTTGTGGTTGACATTATTTATATGGGAAACTATTTTTGCATATTCTCTCTTTAAAACAATCTATAATGATAATTTAGAAACTGCAGCAGGAGTATTGCTCATTGCCGAAGAAAGCTGTTCTCTTTAGTACTTAGAAAAGCATTGGTGGGTCCACCACTAAACTCATATTTTTTACTATACCTGGCATGTGCATATGTTGTTACTCTCCTATGTGCAGAAAATTATTGACTGAGTAGAGGAAGTCTGAGACATTTTTGCCAAATTTTACCTGCTACATTCAGGCAAGTCAATTCCCTATCTGCCTACTCATTTCCTCCTCCCCCCTCTTTTTTTTTTTTTTTTTTACTATTTTTGATTGGTGTTTATATTTATTATTGACTTACTTGAGTTATTTTATGCCAAATGAAACTGTCATTACCGTATACATTTAAAAAACAAATATCAACATTTTTAACACAGTTCAAATTCCTGTATTTGAAATACCTTTTTTTTCTATGTGTTGCACATCTTCTATAAAGTTGTGGTTGGTTTCTTTAAAACTTTTGTTGCTGTTTAGTTTAATATAGTCAATTTTTTCAATCTCTTTTAGATTAGCGTTTCTAACCTTATTTTTAAAATTGTGAATTGCATAAAATATTTTTATAATGTTATCTTTCACATTTAGGTGATTGTAAGGAATTGGGTTTTTTTCTGTCCTGGTAATTTTCCTAAGGTTTATTATTGAGGAACTTACCCCTTACCCACTGCTCTTCAACACTCAGTGTCTCACAAGTCAAATTTCTGTGCATCCTCATCATTTAGGGGCTCTCTATTATGTTTCAAAGCTTTTTTTTTATAATCCTCCATCAATACCAAGCTTTTTTATGTATGGAAACTTTATAATAAAACTTGACGTTTATTAGGTTATTTTCCCCATCATGCACTTCTGTATCTTGGCTATTCTTGTTCATTTGCTAATTTCTGAGAAATAGAGAATAGAGATTATCAAGTTCTATGGCAATCCCTCTAAAAACTTGAGTAGAAATTATATTAAAATATAAGTGAATTTTGAGAGAATTGGCATCTTTATGATCTTTAGTATTCCATTTCAAGATTATAGTTTCCTTATTTCCTTCAATATATGTTAATAAAACCTATATTTTTAAATTTAGCTACAAGAGAATTTCACATCTTTTGTTAGATTTATCATTGGTACTGTATATATTTTGTTGCTTTGATTATATTACCTTTTTAAAAGTGCACTTTCAAATCATTGTTGCTAGTGTATAAAGTGTAATTGTTTTGTGCATTAATTTTAATTCTAACAATCTTCTAAACTTTTCTTTTTACTGATAAAAATATATCTCATCACAGAGTTCCACTTCAGCAAGACAATGTAAGGTGCTCCACAGAACTGTTCCCTAATGAAAATGGTGAAAATTATACAAGGAAAACCATTTAACATCTCTAGAAATGGTCCTGGAGGCAAGCAGCAAATGAAGAACCATTTATCCAAGAGAATCTACCAAAGGTTGGTAAGAATAGTGAGATCATGGTGTGTGAAGCAGAACCCAGTTCTGTGAGATAGAAATTCTACTCTAAACTGGTTCAGCCAAAAACACAGGGCTCCCCTCCCCTCAGCTAGCAGATAAAGGACTGTCTTACCAGGAAATAGGAGGTGATAGCAGTTTCATCCTACTCCTGGCTATCTTTTGTTGAAACTAAATTTTGGGTGAGTGTGGCCAAGAGAGGGCTCTTCCACAGCCTATTCTTGTGTGACGGAGGCTCTCCCTGGGCAGGGCTCCACTGGGAATATAAGGCTTCAGTAGCCCTTGCCCTGGTCTATAAGGCAGTGATTACATGCTGGGAGGGGCAAGCCAAAAAGACTTGAGGCTACCGTCCCCCAGCACCAAGCGCTCATCATCTAAAGCAGATGCTTCACTCAGAGAAAAACATCATAGTTTCCAACTCAGTTCTAGAGTCAGTGGCTTACTGTTTTGCAAGCAGAGGAGGGAGGAGACCGAGATTGGGGGAGGAACATGACTGGGCAAAACAAATCTGAAACACCCAGAGAAATACCCTAGAAGGAGCCCAAGCTTGATTGATTAATTGTAGAGCAAGGTTGGCCCCTAAATTGAAAATAGAAATCATCTGGCAATTAGTGGAGCTTTAACAATTGGGGCATGGTCAGGGAAAGAGACAAAGAGAACCTTGCCAAAAGCACTGTCATTCTAGAGTGACTGGTGCATACCTAAGGCTGGGATCCCCTGAGGTGAAATATCAGTGGCTTAATACTGCAGAGAGGAAATAGACTTAATGAAAACAGTCCAGCCAGTCATTAAACAAATAAACAAGCAAAGAGCAATCACAAGCTCTGGGTAGGGAGCCAATAACCAGATTTTTTATAATAAATTACCTAAAATGTCCAGTTTCCAACAAAAGATTGCAAGACATAAAAAGAAACAGGAAACCCATACACCAGAAAAAAAAAAAAAAACATGCAAAAGAAACTATTGGTGAAAGCAACCAGATATCAGAGTAAACAGACTTCTAAGGGGCCATTATAAATGGGTTCAATAAACTAAACTAAACCACGATTAAAGAAAAAACGGAAAGGTATGGTGATAATGTCACATCAAATAGAGAATATCAATGGATAAAAATTATTTTTAAAAATAGCACGGTGGAGATTCTGGAGTTAAGAAGTACAATAACTGAAATAAAATATTAATTAGAGTGGAGAAGCAGTAGATTTGAATTGGCAAAATAAAGCATCCGTGGACTTGAAGATAGATGAATAGAAAATACGCAGGCTGAAGAATGGAGAGAAAAAAAAATGAAGAAAAATGAACAGAGCCTCAGAAAAATGTGGGACACTATTGAGTGTGCCAACACATGTGGAGGAAAAATATCAGGAGAGAAAGAAAGGAAAAGAAAAAAATAAAGCTGACAACTTCAAAAATTTTGAAAACATTAGCTTACACATTCAGAAATCTCAACAAACTCGAAGAAGGTAAACACAAAGAGATCCACAAAGGACATATCATAGTAAAAAAAAAAACAAAACTGAAAGCCAAAGACAGAGACAAGGCTTTAAAGCAAGACCAAATTTACTCATCACTTGCAAGGGACCCCCCCCCATAAGATTAACAACTGAAGTTTTATAGAAATAATGGAGGCCAGACGGACATAGGATAAACATATTCAAAGTACTTAAAGCAAACACTTTCAACCAAGCATCATATATTCAACAAAGCTTTCTTTCCAAAACAAAGAAACAAAAGAATATGACATAGGGACTTTGAAAATAAACAAAAGCTGAGGGAATTTGTCATCAGCCTTACATGCCTTATAAGAAACACTAAAGGAACTTTTTTGGACTGAAAGCTAATAATCCCAGATGATAATTCAAATCCACATTAAAAACAAAGAGCATCAGGAGAAGTAATTATGTCATTATAAAAGATGGAATACATAGTTTTTCTCCTTTTTTTCTTTTTAAAACAACTTTTAAAGAACAGTTGTATAAAACAGCAAGTATGTAATATATTCTTGAACATCTAATATCTAGAAATTCAAAAGTAATAGTTGGATATTCCAGTATCCCACTTTCAGTAATGGATAAAACTACTAGGCAGAAATAAACAAGGAAAAAGAAGACGTGAGAGACAGTATAAACCAACTATATCTAAGAGATATCTATAGAACACTGCACCCAACAACAGCAGAATAATATCCTTCTTAAGTACACATGGAACATCCTGCAGTGTAGATAATATGCAAGACCATAAAATAAACCTCAGTAAATTTAAAAGGATAATAATGTAAAATATGTTTTCTGACCATAATGGAATTAAATGTGAGTAATAGATAGAAATTTGGGAAACTCATAAATATGTGGAAATTAAACAATGCTTTCTTTAATAACCATTGGGTCAAAGAAGAGGTCAAAAGGGAAATTAGGAAATATTGTGAGACAATGCCAATGAAAATACAGCAAATCAAAATGCAAGGGATGCAGCTAAAGCAACGCTTAGAGGGAAAGTTACAGTTTTAAATGCCTATATTAATGTTTTTCCTAATGTACTATACTAACTAGACTCTCTAACACAATTCTTTTTTTTTTTTTTTTTAAAGATTTTATTTATTTGTGAGAGAGAGAATGAGAGAGAGCACATGAGAGG